CACCACCACCACCACCATCATCATCATCATCATCATCATCATCACCATCACCACCACCACCACCACCACCACCATCACAGCAGTCATCACCATCACCACCACCACTATCACCATCACCTCGTCGCCGTTGTAACCGCCGTGGATGAAGACGGCGTCATGGCTCTTGTACACGGCGTGGAACGCAATGTGCCACGTCCTGATTACCGTTGAATGCGAAGGGTGGAGGGGAGGTGGTGCTCATGAGGATGATGGAGATCAAAGCGACGTGCAAGACTCTACAGCCATGTCAACAGAGTACCACGCGCAAACGCACACACTCACACCCGCACACGCACACACACTAACAACAACAACAACAACACACACACACACACACACACACACACATACACACACACACACACACGCAAACGCAAACGCACACACACACACACACACACAACACACAACACGCAGCATTTCTGCACCTGGGCGGGGGCGGGGTGCCGGCGACGTTGAGTTTGCTGAATTCCATGAGGGTCAGGTCGAGTTTGTAGACGTCATTGTAGCACTCGGGCGCATCCCACCCGCCTATGGCAGCGGTGTGTTGTGTTAGGTTATGTTGTGCGTGTGAGGACAAGCGAATCAAGGCTGATCAAGGCGCGTAACGCTCAACGAAGCCAGTCAGCAACACCCACCACCCATCATCACGCATCAACGATGTTCATTGTGGCCGCACCGAAGATGATGAGTTCGCCGTCCACGACCGTCGCAGAGTGGCTGCAGCAGCAAATTGGGGGGGGGGGGGCGGACGTGGTGGTGTTGGTGATGGTGTGCGGGGGGAATGAGGATGGTGAGTTGGATGTGTGTTGATGGATGGAAGGGACGTTTCGAGCACATGAAGAAACAGAGAAGAACAAGAGATTGTGCAATTGCTCATGAGCTTGGCGGCAGCGACAGCACAGTTCGCGTGTACCCTGATCGTGCTGGCGGGATGTCGCCGACGAGGATCGGTTTGCACCAAAGCCGCTTCTCTGTTGCGGCGCAACGCAACGCAGTGCAATGAATGAGTACAATGGATGTGAGGAGGCAGTCAGTGGGCCATGATGAGGTGGTGGTCATAGTTCACGCGAAGGCCACGTAAGATGCAGACCTTTTCCACACACAAACACACACACACTCACTCACACACACACACACACACACACACACACACACACACACACGCACACATACGCACGCACGCACACACGCATACGCACGCACACACACACACTGACCGAGGTCAAAGCAGTAGAGCTGTGCGCTGCAGCCGTCGGGGATGGGGTCTGGGTTTGGATAGTTCCCGCCAAAGATCATCAGCTGATTATGGAACAGCACGCAGCTGTGGTACGACAGCGCCGGCGCCTTGCCGCCTTGCACCTGAACAGCCGAGGAAGCGTGGTGTGGTGTGGTGTGTTGCATGCGTGGGGTTGCACGCGTTAGGCTGTGTTCGACGACAAGCGCGAGCGTAACGTGTGAGCAGTGATGCACTCATCCTTTCGAATGAACCTCAATGCTTCAACCTTGCACCACCACCACCACCAACACCATTGTCACCCCTCATCACCCTACAGCAGCAGCAGTCACCTTGAGGCACGACCACTCCTGTGTCTTGATGTCGTAGCACTGCACGTCCTTGAAGAACCGGCGGTACTTGGCGCCGCCAAACAGAATCAGCCGCTCGCACTCCTGCCCGCATGGGGCGTGTGTGTGTGTGTGTGTGTGTGTGTGTGTGTGTGTGTGTGTGTGTGTGTGTGTGTGTGTGTGTGTGTGTGATGGAAAGGGATTGTGGTGAGAACGACGTGAAGGAGAGGTGGGATCCCGTGGACAACGGCATAAAGCGTAATGAAAAGCGATGAAGGTCGTCGAGTGAATGCCTTGAGAGTCACCACACACAACACGGCTTCGCACCGGGTCGTAGACACACGAGTGGCCCATTCTGGCGCCCGGCGACGATCCGCTCGTCTCTGGCTGCACCCAGCGCTCTGAAACAACAACAGCAACAACGAGGATACGAGCAGTGAGAAGGGTTGCAGGCACGTGAGATTGTGGCGCGAGTGGAGTGGAGGAAAAGAAGAGAGTGAGCGTGTGTGTGTGCGTGCGTGCGTGCATGCACGACAACAACAACAACAACAACAACAACAACAACAACAACAACAACAACAACAACAAGGATACAAGCAGTGATAAGAAGGGACGCAGGCACGTGAGATTGTGGCGCGAGTGGAGTGGAGGAAAGAAGAGAGTGAGCGCGTGTGTGTGTGCACGCACGACAACAACAACATCTACAACAACAACAACATCTACAACAACAACAGCAACAACAACAACAACAACAACAACAACAACAACAACAACAACAACAACAACAACAACAACAACAACAACAGCAACAACAACAATCAACAACAACAACAACAACATCCCCACTCACCGCCATCAAACATCCAGAATGCGTCCTTGCACAGCTGTTCGAATCCCTGTCCACCAAACAGAAACACGGCATCATCGCCCGCGCTGCACATCGTGTGGCCCCAGCGCGCAGACGGGCGCGCTCCTGTTCGTGGGGCGGGTATGTGTGTGTGTGTGTGTGTGTGTGTGTGTGCGTGAAAAACATCACCCTTACAATTCCACAAACAAGTCATCCACCTTCATCCCCACCCCCACCCGCCCCACACACACACACTCACACTGCAACAAAGAAGGCAGCACCAAAGACCAACGCACCCTCCAGGTCTTCGTCCACTGCCACCGGCGTCTGCGATTGCGTCGCGCTGTCATCGCCGCCACTTCTTCCTCCTCGTCCACGCACGCGCCGTGCCGTTCTCGCTGTGCTGCTGCTGTTACTGCTGCTGCTGTTACTGCTGCTGCTGTTACTGCTGCTGCTGCTGTTACTGCTGCTGCTGTTGTTACTGCTGCTGCTGCTGTTACTGCTGCTGCTGCTGTTACTGCTGCTGCTGTTGTTACTGCTGCTTCCACTGCTGCTGTTCGTCGGGGTGATCTCGTCATCGCTCTGTTGCTGTTGCTGTTGCTGGTGTTGCTGTTGTTTTGGGGATGCGCGTGTGCTGCGCGTCTTCCCCCGCGGTGTTGCTGCTGACCGCTTGGCGCGTTTTGAGGTGGGAGTGGCCTGTGATGCGCTCGTCGATGCAGTGTCACTATCATCCGTGCCTGCAGGCATCCCCTTGTCGTCGTCGCCATCACGCGTGACGTCAGCGCACGCACCCGACAGCATACTGTCGCTGTGATCTGCACTAGCGAGTGTATGGCAGCCGCTATCGCGTTTGTCGTGCTCTTCCACAGCATCATGAGCGGTGTTGTCATTGTCATCATCATCATCGTTGCCGTTGTCGTCGGTGTCGTCGTTGTCGTCGTTGGCGTTTCGCTTGCGGTTCTTCTTCATGGGGCGCTGGGCACCTCTACAGTTGTGTAAGTGTGTATGTGTGTGTGTGTGTGTGAGGGGCACAAAGGAGCAAATGAAGAGATGGGGCATGCACCCAGGTGGCATTGATACGAGTACATATTGCTGTGAACTGACGTGGCTGAACGTGGTTTGGCATCCGGCGTCTCGGTGACAGGCGGCATCTGCACAAGTGTGGGCAGCACATGCAGAGAGTCAGTGTGTGTGTGTGTGTTTGTGTGTGTGTGTGTGTGTGTGTGAGAGGGGGGGTGGCGCATTTGTGATAGTGGTCACAATCACTGCACACGCAGACAGACAGACAGACAGACAGACACACACACACACACACGCACACACACACGCACACAGACACACAGACACACAGACACACACAACGCACGCGCACGTGTTCACGCACCATCGCGTATTTCTGTTCTGGCGGGGTGCTGATGGTGGTCCAGACGCACTGCGTGAGCGGCTGCGATGCCGGGGACGCGGGCTCGTCATCGCCCATGGCTCCATCCACTGTGCCATCCAGCACCAGCTTGCACGACAAGCCCATCTCCTGCAGCTCTTTCATGTCATCCTGCCGGTCCTTCAGCACAGACCTGTGAGTGTGTGAGTGTGTGTGTGTGTATGTGTGTGAGTGTGAGTGTGTGAGTTGAGAGTGTGTGTGTGTGTCTGCAGTAAAGCGCGTGCGCCATGGTTGTTTGCTGTCCCTGGCTCGTTCATTGCCACTCCCTCCCTCCACTCCCACCCTCCACTCCCACCACCACCAACCACCACAACCGCTGTCACTCTCGACACCCACCCACCCACTCACGCACACCTGAGGTCGATGAGGGATGTAAAGGGGACGGTGTCATTGATGGCGCCCAAGTCGACGGGCGCGGCCGCAGAGGACAACTGGAGGGACATGGCCAGGCCCACGTGGCTGGAGGGTGTGGTGCCTTTGGTGCTGGGCACGCCAAAGAGCACCAGATACTCGGGCAGCGGCAGGCGCAGGCGACAATAGAACTTGCAGCCCACGCCGCCTCCTTCTCCATCCACCGCCGGCCGCACACTTTGGGAAAGGGATACACAAGAGCAGCAGGAAGAGCATGGCGCCCAACACACAAACACACACACACACACACATGTACGTGTGAGTGCGATGTTCACGACGCAGAGGGAGAGAGACAGGGAGAGGCAGACGGAGGCAGACGGAGGCAGAGAAAAGTGTCCAACCATCACGTATACACAACTACACACTCACACACAACTACACACACACGCACCGTGACATGAGCGAGACGACGGTGTCATCTTGTACTGCCTTGATGGCAAAGTTCAAGCCGCCGTCATCCATGATGGCTGTCGTGGCTCCTCCGCTTCGTCAATCAATCAATCAATCAATCAATCAATCGGTCTCTGTTCATGTCGTATGTTGTTGCAGTTCATACAACATGTTGTGAGCGGCTCATGAGCGAGCACAGGCGAGCACGACGAGCACGGTGAGCATGACGAGCATGGTGAGCATGGTGAGCATGGAAGCGCACACTGCACACACTACTGCACTGGAAGCGCCCACACCATCAACACCACCATCAACACCACCATCAACACCACCACACCGCGCTTCAAACTTTTGGCGCGCCAACCACTCAAACCCTGACCTGTCAAATTTGACGTGCGGTGGATACGAACCCCTCAAAACGGCCACGTCAAAGTGCGTTCCCACCACCAAACACACACACGCACACCTTGATGCCATCCATTACAGGCCATTTCCCCCTCACGCAATCGTCAACCAACGTAAGTGTGTATGCGTGTGCTGGTGCTGCCTTCTTGCCTGATACGTATCGATGGTGATTGGGCTGAGCTGATCGCAGTCTGTGCTTCTGTGTGTACTCGCTTTCCTTGCTTCCTTCCTTCCGCCTTCCGTTCTTCCACCTTTCCTCTTCTTGCTGCCTCTTCTTCTTCTTCCTGTCTCACGACATCGTCCTCTCCCTCTCCGCGGTTTCTTCCTTGGTGTTTGTTGGGCGTCGTGTCTCGTGTCCTCGTGTCTCGCGTCGCGTACTGTGTTGTTCTCCTCACTCCTTCCCTCTTCCCCCTTCACCCTCTTCCCCCCTCTTCAACCCTCTCCCCCTCTCCCTTCCCTTTCCCTTCCATCTGCTCTTCTCTCATCGCCCAGCTTCTTGCCTCTCTGTTTTATTTCTTCCTTATCATGTTCCTCACTCTTGTCGCGGCTGCCTCGCGTCTCTGGTCTTTGGTTGTGCCCACGCCCACGCAACAAACACCGCGCTCCTCCACACAGAAACCCTCCTCCTCTTCTCCTACCTTCAAACAAGCAACCATGCCTCGCGAGCGCACCTACATCATGATCAAGCCTGACGGCGTCCAGCGTGGTCTCGTTGGCGAGATCATCAAGCGCTTTGAGCAGAAGGGCTTCAAGCTCGTCGCTCTCAAGCTCAAGACGGTGCGTTTGATGCGTGTGGGTGTGGGTGTGTTTTGTGGGTGTTTGGTGGTGTGCAGCGTTGACACCGTATGGTTTGCGTGGGTGTGTGTGTGCCTGTGCGTGTGTTTGTGGTCGCCACGTGGTGTGTTCCCTCACTCTCCCCCCACCCCGCCACCTCACCCACCTTGTTCTCTTCCACCTTATCGTATTGCAGGCCTCCACCGAGCTTCTTGAGGAGCACTACGCCGACCTCAAGGGCAAGAAGTTCTTCCCTTCCCTCGTCAAGTACATGGCCTCCGGCCCTGTCTGCTGCATGGTGCGTTACAGCGTGCGCATTGCTCCTGCACACAAGTTGTCGTATGACCCCTCATTACACAACCACTTGTTATACAACCACCCAAACACGCAACCCAAACAAGTTGTTTTCCTGTCACCGATGCTTGCACACCGATGCTTGCGCTTCTTCCCCCCCCCCCCCCCCACACACACACACACACACATCCCCATCATGTTCACTCACAAAACAACTTGTCATTGCAGGTCTGGGAGGGCACGGATGCCGTCTACTTTGGCCGCAAGCTCCTCGGTGAGACCCGCCCCTACGACTCTGCCCCCGGCACCATCCGCGGCGACTTCTGCGTCGAGGTTGGCCGCAACATCTGCCACGGTTCCGACGCCGTCGAGAGCGCCGAGAAGGAGATTGCCCTCTGGTTCACCCCCGAGGAGCTTAACGACTGGCAGCAGGTCACCGAGTCCTGGGTCTACGAGTAAGCCCCACAGCGCTCTCCACCACCACCATCACGAGCATTTCTTCCTCGCTTGGCGGTGCGGTGGCGGCCTGAGGTTGTTGTGAGTGGGGTGTGATGAGGATGTGATGTGTCCATCTGATGAAGGTGTGCGTCCGTTCTCCCATCCTGCTTGCATCTGCTCTCGTCGCTCCTCGTCTCGCGACCTTTCTCTCTCTCTCTCTCTCTCGATCGTCTAGTTTTGAGCCCCTCTGCTCGCTCTCTCTCTCTCTCTCATCTTTGGTTGGTTTGTGTTGTGCATTAAACGACAAGTGTGAGGCCATGACTTGGTGGTTCAGATGTTCGTTTAATGATGGGTAATGTCACATAACACAATATGTAATGTACTTCACACAGCAAGTGTGTGTGCAACGGTCGATAGGACAGGCATGAGCCGATGTCAGCGCAGCAACTGCACATGCCACTCGAGATGCTCTTCGATAAACATTTGGGTGTGGACATCAATGGCGTGAACGAATGTTGCCGGCTGATCAGAGGGGAAGAACACGGTCTCACTGTTTGGAACGTGGTAAGGTCGCAGCCAGTGCAGGCTCCTTTCAGGGGGCTGCACATTCACGATGTGCAAGTGCTGTGTCTCGGCATAGTCCGCAAGGGCGTCGCGAAGTTGGTGGAGGCTGACCTGTTCATCGCCACCAGTTAGCATGCGAATGCCATCCACGTGTGCAGAAATGAAGCGCTGGATCTTCCGTTTCAGTCCGATAACAGCTGCCGTCAAGGTGAGCAGGCCCGCGACTGCGAGCACAGGTTGTTGCCGCGCATAATGATAGAGTGACCGCACCGAGGATTGCAGCAGATTCACCGCATTCACTCCACCAATGGGAGAGTCATACAGGATGATCCGATCCACCTGGTGCATGAGCTCTGTGTGTTGCTGTAGGGCCAATCCCGTCACGATGCCGCCGAATGAGTGGGCAACGATGACAACGCGCTGGCCAGCTTGAACCGACGCGTCCACTTTGTTCACGAGATCGGCTACCGCAGTCATGATGTTGGAAGAAGTTAGGTCTCCGTACTCGACGGCTTCGCATCGAGCGTCAGCAACTGTGGTAGCGAGGCTTTGCGGCAGGCGACAGAAGGTAGATTCAAGGGACCCTTGAAAGCCGTGAACGAAGATGTATGTCGTCATGCTGGCTGACTTACTTGATAAGGGTAACAGGTAGCACAAGGAAAACGAGGATGTGTTGCCGTTGATGTGGAGGGGAACGGGAAAATGGCATCCATTTGGTGGGGATGATGAGCTTCTTGTCGCAAAGGACAGCGGGCGTGGGCAAAAGGTTCTTGCGCCTTGCAAGTGCGCTTGTGTGAAAGAGTCAGTTCAAGCGCCAGCCATGTGTAACTGTGATATGACACACCACTAAAACCGACGTCGGTATCTCGGCGATGTGTGCCTGTCAACGCTATGTGTAACCGTCATGTGTGACACGCCATCTTCCTCTTACATAAGTGTGTGTGTGGGGGGGGGGTTCTCGCGCCTTCCGCGTGCTCTTGTGTCAGTTCCAGCGCCAGCCATGTGTCATTGTCACAACTGCGCCAAACTCACAAGCGTCATCATCGACCGGCCCCATCTCCAATAACCGTCACCACAAATTGCAGCGCTTGTTCAGTGGCGCAACAACAACGATGAAGATGACGATGCGACGCTGCGTGTTGAGCGGAACAAAGGCCGCTGTTCGACTTGGGCTGAACAATGGGTCTCTGATAGCCTTTGCGCGCCAGCAGCGCACCTTCTTCTCGATAAGTGGCAGTACTTGCCGTTGTGGTCGTCGTATTAGCAGGACCAGCAGTAGCAGTGTGAACAGTGGGTTGAGAAGCAAGGGTGGTGGCGGCGTGCCTGGGCAGCAGCAGCAGCAGCAGCGGCGAGTTGTTCATTTCCATCGAGCATTATCAGAGCAACGACGACGGGCACCGCATCTCTTGCCAAGAACACGCAGCATGCTGACGACGACGCCACGGCGCATGCCTGGGATTGAGCAGGCAGACGCGACTCCGACCGCCTTTGTGTTCCCGGGCCAGGGTGCGCAGAAGGTGGGCATGACCAAGAAGGAGCTGGACATTCCGGCAGTCCAAGTCATGTACGCCAAGGCCAAGGACGTCCTCGGCTACGACATCCAAAAGGTGTGTGAGTGTGTGCGTGTGGGGGGTGGGCTTGGGGAGAGGTGCGTGACTGCTGTGGGTGGGTGGGAGTGTTAGTGCCGTGGCTGCTGCGTTGTTGTGCGAGCTTTGCTTCAATCACATGCGTTGTGTCTTGACCATGCGCAACCCCCGCGCACCCCACCCCACTCTCTTTGTGTGTTCCGACGCGCCGCATGACCACGTGCAGATTGTGATGGGAGACAGCCAGGAGGCTCTTGACAGCACGTACGCACACGCGTGAATGCAAACGTGTTTATGTTGTGCAGCCCTTCCAGTCACCTTTCTCAACACAAATACACACACACTTTCTCAACACAAACACACACACATACACATACACATACACATACACATACACATACACATACACATACACACACACACACACAGGCTGGCTGCGCTGGAGCGACTGCGGCTTGATGACCCGGACGCCGTGAAGCGGTGCACGGCTGCGGCGGGGCTGTCGCTCGGCGAGTACACGGCGCTCGTGGCGGGCGGCGCCATCACCTTTGAGGACGCGCTCAAGATTGTCAAGATCCGTGGCGAGATGATGCTAGAGGCATCAAAGCAGAACAAGGTGTGTGCAGGGTGTGTCTGTGTGTGTGTGTGTGTGTGTGTGTTTGTTGGGTGCGTGTGTGTGTGTGTTTGTTGGGTGCGTGTGTGTGTCTGTGTGTGTAATTGTTGTGTGTGTTTGTTGTGTGTGTGTGTGTGTCGGGGCTTCTGTCTGTGTCTGTCTGTGCATGTCTGTTTGTGGGTGGCTGTTTGTACAAATGTCACCTGCTTGTCACCTGCTTGTCACCTTTTGAGTGTATCTGCACACACGTCAAAGCGTGTGCTGCACACGTGCGCGTGCTGGACTGCTCACCACTGGTCCGCTGGTTCCCCTTTGCTGCAGGGCACGATGCTGTCTGTCATTGGCGTAGATGACGCCACCCTCGCCGCCGCCTGCGAGGAGGTCGCAGCAGCCACACGACAGGTGTGCGTGTATGTGTGTGTGTGTGTGTCTGTGTGTGTGTCTGTGTGTGTGTGTCTGTGTCTGTCTGTCTGTGTCTGTCTGTCTGTGTGTGTGTCTGTGTGTCTGTGTGTCTGTGTGTCTGTGTGTATTTGGTGGCTCAACTGCGACCATGGCGAGTTGGCATCCCCTCACATGTGTGCGTGTACATGTGTGGATGACACAGACGGCCGAGATCAGCAACTTTCTCAGCCCAGGCATTCGCGTCATCTCAGGTACGTGTGTGTATGTGTCTGTGTCTGTGCTTGCCTGTGTGTGCACGTGTACACTGCGTGTGCGACGCAACCGCTCATGCACTTCGTTTTCTCCCTTCCAATTTCTCTCCCGCGCGACAGGCGATGAGGAAGCGGTGGAGATGGTGCGCTTTCGCATCGAATCAAAGGCAATGAAGGTAATCGTGTCGACTTGAGGCATGTGTGTACATGTACGTGTGTGTACGTGTGTGTGTGTATGTGTGTGTATGTGTGTGTATGTGTGTGTTCCTCTCTCGCACACACTCTCACGTTACCCACTAATACTCGCACACCCTCACACGCCCTCACACACCCTCACACACACACACACACACCTCACACACACACACGCACATCACCACCACCACCACTGTCTTACCAGGTGCAGTACCTGGCTGTGAGCGGTGCGTTCCACACGCGACTGATGCAGCCGGCTGTGGACGCGCTCAGATCCGCCCTCGACCACATCGACGTGCGTACTCTTATTAGAAGTTAAAGGGGGAGAGGGGCTGTGATTGGTGGTGAATGTGGTGGTGATTGGTGGATGCTCTTGTTGCTGTTTGTTCGCTCGTGTGGTGCAACTCACATCACTTCTGCTCGCTGGTTGCATCTGTGCCGTGTCACTCTGACATTCTAACACCTTCTTCTTGTCCCCTTTCTTGCCCATACCTCGCTCCATCTCCACCTTTCCCCTCACCTTTGCACACACAACACACAACACACATACACACAGATTCGCATGCCACACATCAACGTGTACGCAAACACGCTCGGCCGCCCTTATGAGGTGCTCACAGTGCACACCATGCAATGACATGCAATGCTGCGAATGTGACCGTGACCATGACTGCTGAGCTGGAAGTGACCAGCTTACGCACACATGCTCGATTCTTGATTGCCCTCAATGTTATTGATCATCCCCGAAATCATCATCACTTCCACCACTGTGCACTTGATCGTCTCCCATCCTCACACACACACACACACACACACACACACACACACACACACACATACACGCACAGTAGATACGGCAGAATCACAGCTGGAAATATATTAGGTGAAGTATGTGTTTCTGTTACTACTTTTTTTTTTTTTTTTTTTTTTTTAACAATATAAAGTCATCTAATCACAATTTACGTCTGTAAATATAACTAACATATAGGGTATGTGTTTGTAGTTCTAGAGATGAGATAGATGATTTCTGATTCTGATCATATCGACGCATAGTGAGCGACATAGCTGAGTGCGACATGGTAGGGATAGACATAGAATTCTATATTAAGTCGGATGTAATAAGACACTGCAGATCGCGGACGAGAGGGAATTATAAGCAGACATAGTTTGCTTCTTTT